TGCCTCCCTCAGTTGAAATAACAGTAAGGCAAATCGACAGTGCGGGAAAGATTGATAAATACCCCATTTTTTTAATTAAAAATACTGTTTATATTATTATGTTGAGTTGTTTGATTACATACAGCTATATATGATTTTTGTTTCATGTGAATTTAAAATTAAATACTACGAAATGTTAATATTTTAAAAATAGAATATGTAATCATGTACGATTAAAAAAACTTAACATAGTAAATATAAAAAAATTGATGTAATTATTTTTTTTTAATATCCTACAATTTTGTCTCTCTTTATAGCTTGATGAGGAGCTGCCAATCGAAACGAGGAATTTTTGTATTTTTTAATGGAAAAAGAAACCATTTTTAATTGTGTTTCATATCTTAATATTTAATCTCCCAGTTTTAATTACATGGCCCTGTGTGCGTAATCTAACAAATAAAAATAATTTCATAATAAAATTAATTGATTAGTTTATTATTTGATTAAAAAAATTAATTCTAAAAACGAAGTTTATTTATAGTTTATTTAAAAATAAAAAATTAAATGATTTATAATGTTTGTAAAAGAAATCACACTAAATAATAACGTATATACATAAACATTAAACAATAAAAATAATTTTTTCTACTACAATTTTTTAATATAACTATTTGATTTTATTTTTTGGTATAACTCAAAATACCCTCAAGCTACTTTGGGTTTGAAACTAATTTCTGTCTAGTCGGGAGTATTAAAGTAAAAGCTCTCCCAATAAATATATTTTCTAGGATTTGAACTTGTATTTTTATATTCATTTAAAACAAGCAGAATATTAGTACAGAATATTACAAATGCTAATCACTCTGTTCATTACTGCACTATTTTTAACTCACAGCGGTTAAGAGAAACCTTTTTTCCTTTTTTTTCTTTTTTAAAATAGACAATATAAACCCCACTCCCCCATAGGGGAGGGGACCCACACACCCCCTTCGTCCTTGTAGTATAGAACCCACAGCCTCCTCCGTCCGGTACTGTTGAACTAAGGGGTTCTCAATGCCAAATCTCAATTATTGACCGTCAGAGGCATTTTAGGGGAATAAATATATTCATAATTATATCGAAGTACATATTTTCAAGCAAATATGTTCAACATTTTAAGGTTTTTATCTTCTTAATAACGATACGATTAGATATTGTAACTGTCTTGTTGACCGAAAAAAAAAAAAAGTAATGGCTTCTTCGGATTTAAACAACTAATTTTTTTATGGAATAAATTGATATATTTCCCCCTACCATATTGCATCGCTATATATATGTGACCCTAATGTACACAGCATGTATATTTATCTAATTAATTTCTTACATTATATATGCAGGGCTATTCCACGAGAAGAAGGATTTAGAAAACTCATCATAATATTAGGCGTTGTCATTGGATGGCACTTCCCAGATATATCACCTTTTCTTGAGCATCCAGCAATTCTATGGATATTTGTCATATGCGTATCCATCCATGTCTTCACATTAGATGTTATCTCAGGCTCTTGTGCTTGCATAGCACTAATATCGCTACTAGTTCGCCATGATCTTAAGTTGTATCTCTTCATTACCTATGGGATATCATTGCTCATGTTCTTGGGCCATAAACAATTATGGGATATGTGGAAGAGGGCAGTATCATATTTGAAGACGTGGGATGCAATTATTGAAGGCAACAACGGTTCTGCAAACACCAGAGGTGTTTAGATCCTACTATCCTCTCTCAACATCTACGGCCTGTAGCTTATGTTCGCTTTGCAAATAATTTTTTTCGTTAAGGTCCAATTTTACCTTGAAAATTTTCATTTAGAAACAATGTTGTCTTAGAAAGTTTTTTGGGTTCAATGTTGCCTCGAAATGTTGCCTTGAAAATTTAAAAACGTAGCAACGTTATCCCAGCCATGCTGATCGTGAGTGAAAACTTTTAGGATAAAATTGAACCTTAACCTTTTTTTACCGATGTAAGAGAAAGTGATTCTGTGTTACATGACCTTAGTTGCTTTGACTTGCCATTTATCCTCAGGTTGTTTCATTGGCTTTTCATTGCAATGTCATCTGGTAGTACAAATCAATACTACTGAGAATGTTTTGTTCATATGTATATGAGAACAAGGAGGTAATGTGTCATGAGATTAAAAAAATAAAGATTTCTGTTTGGGAAAGGCCTCTTTTTGATTCTATTCTCACCCCCCAAAAGGAGCCTGCCTCTATTTGATTCTAAAACAAGGAGGTTTATGTTAATTTATGGTTGTGTCCGATCCACTTTGATGTGTCAATGTGAGGCTGTAAAACCTCAAATCGATTTGGATGAATCTAAGAAAACAGTCAAATTAATAATTGATGAATTAATGTGATGAAGAACTATTTCAGAGAAAACAGAGAGAAGGCATGAGAGGCAGGAGAGGAGAAGAATTATATCCTAACTGATCATTATGGTTTAATATGGAATATGGAATAGATCAGAATTAAAGACAAGAAAAAACTATATAACACCAAAAACCAATTTCTTCTACAGATTATCATATAACATAGAACAGAAACAGATAACAGGGGCACAGACCCAACAAATATATAATAAATAATATAAGAATTCAAAAGGCGGTCGGTGAATCAGCATCCAGAATCGCTGTGTTTGAAGCTGAGTTTTACTTTCTTAAATTGAAGTTAACTTTTCTCAGTTTTTTTTTTTTTTTTTTTTTAAAGAAACAAAACGAGAAGTAGCTCATGAATGCTGACGAAGCTGTAATATGAGGAAAGGCCGAGAAAGGCATAAATAAGAAACAAATAAGAAAGAATATAAATGAGAGGGACCTGATGAATCTACTCTACTTCATGCGAGAAGGTTCTCCACGGCAGATCTGCATATCCTGAGGGGTTCTGGTGTGAGAATATGAGAAATGGAAACCCAAATGCTTCAACTAAATAAAGTCTGCATTTATTTGTTGTGCGAAAATGAGAGCCACACGTTGTCTGATACTTCTCGCCCTTCTATCCTCACGCTGTTTGCAGAAAGCGAAAGGGTACGTTGGAGTGGACCTTTCAGTACGTTCAAAATAAGCGGCTCACTTTCCTTCCTCCCCCCCCCCCCCTATTTTTGCCATCTTTCTGTGGCTCACTTTCGACCAGTAGTCCTTCTCATTCATCAGAGTCATTCTTAGAAAATTACAAAAAGCTTGTGGCATGATTTATATATCAAGATAAATCATTGGTAATATATATATATATATATATATGTATATCAATAGAAATCATGAACTGGAAACAATGATTTCTGGCCAAAAAAAGGAAACAGCGATTAATTTTAGAAAATGATTTGGTATGCATATTATTAATCATGATTTCTTTTTGGCCTTTGGTATGCATAATATAGTTCTGAACGATAATGTACAGGAAGAACGTAGTCATTTACCTCACTCGCAAATTATTGTACGATAATTTAATTAAATTATATTTAATTATGTGGGTGCACATGATCTCTATGTTTCTCCTTTCCTTGACCAATCATCTGAGGATTCTTTGTCAAAGTACTCATTAATGCATCAAGCTCAGCTCAAAAAGAAAAGGGCAGGTTTCAAAAAGTGACTTGAAGGAAGATCTTTTTTTTTTTCAAAAAAAAAAACATTATTCACCTATTTCTTTATTTTTAGTTCTATCCTAGAATTTGACGTCTTTTAACTAAATAAATTAAGCATGATTAGTTGTTGTTTTGTTCCGGGATTATATATGGGCAACAAATGATGCTCGTTTCTCTCTCTCTCTCTCTCTCTCTCTCTCTCTCACGCGCGCGCACACACTCATCTTCAAAATTATAAAGCAATTTTAATTAATTTACAACTTCAGTAAAATAATTAATAAACTTTAAAATTACACATTCTTACCATGTTTCTTCTTATTTGATTGAATGTCAATTATAAAGTAAAATAATTAATAAACTTTAAAATTACACATTCTTACCATGTTTCTTCTTATTTGATTGTATGTCAATTATAAAGTAAAATAATGGATAAACTTTAAAATTACACATTCTTACCATGCTTCTTCTGATTTGATTGAATGTCAATTATAAAAATTGCATCCCTAATTAAGGACTTTTTTTAAAAAAATCTTATTAATTAAAAATTTAAAAATAAAAAAATGTCTTGTAGTTTTAAACATGATACTCAAAAAAATGTTTTATAAAAATGCTTTACTTTTTTTAAAAAAGTACTATACATAGTATTATGAATAATTTCTCATTAAATAATGAATATAATCAATTCGCTATCATATCTTATTTGCTCTAGATATAGAGGCAAATTTATTTAAAATGAAAAAATGAACAATGTCTTGACTATTAAGTTTTGCGGTCATGATTTTTGCAATATTCGATTAATGTGGCTATTTTACGCATATACTGTAAACTGTAAAAAGAAATACCTAAATATTACATCATGACAAATATTTACCCATGTAATTTGAAGAATGAAAATCCTATATTTTATTGATATTCTTAAGGGGTATATATACACAATAGAGGAGCCTAAGCATTAATGGCTCATTACTAGGAAATAATATCATATCGTATCCTATATATTAATTACAGGATATTTACATATCTTATGATATCTCCTATAATATCTCTACACTCCCCCTCAAGTTGGAGCATAGATGTCAATCATGCCCAATTTGTTACAAAGATATTCAACTTGAACCCCATTAAGAGCTTTGGTGAGGAGATCACCCAATTGATCACTAGATCTGACATGTCCTATAGAGATGAAGTTTTCCTTGAGCTTTTCCCGAACGAAATGATAGTTAATATCAGTATGTTTCGTATGTTCATGGAATACCGAATTCAAAGCTATGTGTAAGGATGCTTTATTATCACACCATAGCTTTGCTGGTAACAAGGTTTTAAGACCAACCTCTTTTAGTAGCTAGTATATCCAAACTATCTCATATACAAATTGTGCCATGGCTCTGTGTTCCGCTTCTACACTCGATCATGACACCACATTCTGTTTCTTGCTTCTCCAGGACACCAAATTGCCTCCTACAAAAACACAATATCTTGTAGTGGATCGTCTCGTGGCTTTCGACCCACCATGATCAGCATCATAAAAGCACTCAATGTCTGTGTGACCATGATTCTTGTACAATATCCCACGACCTGGGGATCTCTTCAAGTAATGTAACGCATGCTCTAAGGCTTCCCACTGTCGGACAGTTGGTGCAACCATAAATTGGCTAAGGACACTCACTGGATAAGTGATATCAGGACGGGTCACCGTAAGGTAATTCAACTTTCCAATCAGTTTCCTATACCTTTCTGGATTTTCAAATGGCTTGCTCTTAGCATCATCATCAGGATTTTTACATGGTATGCTACCATCAGCATCAAGCAAAGGATTATAGACCATAGGGAAGCTGGTTGGGGTAGCCCCTAGTTTTCTAGTTTCTTTCAGTAGATCAAGATCATACTTTCTCTGAGTCAATAAGATGTCTTTCTTGCTCCTTATGACTTCAATCCCCAGAAAGTACTTCAATGAACCCAGATCCTTCGTTTGAAAATATGAGTTAAGGAATGACTTGAGTGATGAGATCCCCGAGGCATTACTCCCAGTAATCACAATGTCATCGATATACACAACAAGAAGAATCATGCCGGCACTTGTTCACTGATAGAACATAGAATGATCACACTTACTCTGACAGATAATGGTGGAGCAGAATTTGATGCAGCAGCAAGATTAGTTTCCTTCAAACATCTAGTGTAAACCCGAGACAAAGGTGGTTGACCAGGTGCTAATACGAGAGCTGGTGCCGGTGGTGGGGTTGGACTGACAGAATATACCAGAAGGGTATCCTCCTCTGCTAGTGGAGAAGGTGAAGCAGAAACGTTAGATGCAAAGTATGCAACATATTCCTGAAAAGTGACATTGGCAGAAACTAGATAACGATTCAGAGTAGGAGAGAAACACCGATAACCTTTTTGAACTTGAGAGTAGCCAAGAAAGACACATTTAAGAGACTTAAGGTCCAATTTGGAGACTGTGGGATACACATCCCGAACAAAACAAACACATCCAAAGATCTTAGGATCAATTGGAAACAAAGCTTTGGAAGGAAAGAGAGTGGTGTAAGGAATGTTACCATCAAGGACAGAGGAGGGCATGCGATTAATAAGGAAGTAAGCTTTGGAGACCGCATCTACCCAGAATGGTTTTAGAACTTGCATTTGAAATAAAAGTGCATGGGCCACCTCTAATAAGTGACGATTTTTTCTTTTTACAACACCATTCTGAGTCGGTGTTGATGAAGAATGCCATGTTGAAGCATAAAAGAGCGAAAGGATTCAGAAAAATATTCTTTAGTATTATCACTGCGCAAGGTGTGGACAAGAGTATCGAATTGATTTTTAATTTCGGCAACAAAAGCACAAAAGTAAGAGAACAACTCAGAATGATTTTTCATTAAATATAACCAAGTGGTACGGGAATAATCATCAACAAATGTGACAAAGTATTTAAAACCAGCTTTGGACTCAATTGGACACAGACCCTAAACATCAGAGTGCACTAATTCAAAAGGGGACGAAGCCTGTTTATTGACTCTAGACACTAACGGCAGACGATGATGTTCAGCAAACTGACACGACTCACAATCTAAAGACGACAAATGTTGAAACTGAGAATAAAATTTTTTTCAAAGAAGATAAAGATAAATGACCCAAACGAAAATGTGCTTCAAACGGAGTGACACTTCCGGTATAAGCCACCGCACGAGACCCCTGATCATCAAGGAAGTAATGTCCGCTAGATTCGTAACCCCTACCAATAATCTTCTTCGTCAAAAGATCCTGTATCAAGTAATGGTCAGGAAAAAGTGAGACCCAACAATTTAATTGGCGAGTAAGTTTACTAGGGGACAAAAGCTTAAAAGCAAGATTAGGGACATTGAATACAGATTTTAAATGAATAGAAGAAGTAGGTTCAACAGTGCCAGATCCAAGGACATGAGAATGGGAACCATCCGCAATGGTGATAGCAGAAGGGTTGGCAAAAGAATTATAACTGGAGAAGAGATGATGGTTACCTGTAATGTGGTCAGTAGCACCAAAGTCTATGATCCATTTGGAGGAAGAAGAGACAAGGGTAGTAGCCTCATTACCTATTGCAATAGCAACAGTCACAGGGGGATTTGCAGACTTTAGTTGAGCATACTCGGCAACCGAGATAGTAACTGTGTCATTGGCTGTTGTGGCCACATGTGCAGAGCTTTGTCGTTATTCTTTGTTTTGCAGCTTACGACATGTACGTTTAGTATGTCCCGGTTCGTTAGTAACATATCAATTCCCAAGGCTCTTGATTAGTACCTCCTGGTTTTGAGCCACTACGATTAGGGAGCCCTCGATTGTCATTCTGGCCTTAACTGAGTAATGCACTAGTAGGTGTAATGGGAGCTGAGGAAGGGTTTAGTTTAGTTCTCAATACATGAGAGAAAGCTTCTTCAAGAGAGGGGATCTCAGCTCCAGATAGCGATCGAGCAGCCGCATACCAAGGTGGCAGTGCAGTCAGAAAACTCATGGTGGCCTTCTGCTCTTAGTGAGACACGTTAACTTTCCTATCATCAGAAATAGGCATAAGAACATTGAGCTCTTCATAGGTGCTTTTAAAATCCATAAAGAAGGCTGTGAGGGGACAATCATCCGGCATCTCAGACCGATGGAAAGATCTGCAGACCTCATAGATACGAGAGATATTATTCTTTCCTGAGTATAAAAGTGCCAAATAATCCATTAGTTCTTTAACAAATTCACAATGAGTAATAGAAGGCATGATCTCACTGTCAATAGAGTTACGAAGTTGTAACAGAAGTCGTGCATCATCTCGTAACCACAACTTGCGAGAGGCATCCTTGTCTTTGGGAGGATTGTCAGTCAATTGATCTTCCTTCTCAATACTCCGAAATAAATATGAATAGTCTTACTCCAGTCTAGATAATTTTTCCAAGTTAATTTGTGTTCAGTAATCTTAGTGACTACTGGAACCACCTCAGAAACAGCAGACTTGTTATCACCCATTAGGACAATAATTTTCACAGCAACACTAATTAGCCAAATGGATCACACTAGGGACCACAAAATAAAACAAATTAGAATTCTACAAACCAGAGTGCCAATGCTTTCTCAGGAAGCCAAAGTGCTCTAAATCACAATAAATAATGGGACCTAGGAAGTAGAAATAGCAGGGATGGGTCGGAAAGGGCGAGGCGGACTGACTGAGGAGAGACAACACCAGAAAACACTGCAGACATGATGGCGCGTGAACAATGCAGTGGCTAGTGACGGGGCGTGAAGGCCACTCGTTGCTCGGATGATGACGAGACTCAAGTGGACAACCGATCAAGACCTTGCGACCTCCTCTGACCAGCACGTGTTCACTGTAGAGGGCGGGAAACCGAAGCTCTGTGGCAGCTTTGTGAACAATGGCAAAGACACACTGGAGGCCAAAAAAAAAATTTTAATCCTAAAAAACCTGCTCTGGTACCATGTAATTTGGAGAATGAAAATCCTATATTTTATTAATATTCCGAAGGGGTATATATACACAATAGAGGAGCCTAGGCATTAATGGCTCATTACTAGGAAATAATATCATATCGTATCCTATATATTAATTACAAGATATTTGCATATCTTATAATATCTCCTATAATATCTCTGCAACCCAAATATTATACTTAAACCCATTCAAGGCTACAAGTTCAAATTTATGTAGAAATCATTCTTGTCAAGAAAGACTTCATCATATAACTGATGTGACCTCACGTTTTTAGGAAAAAAAAAATTGGAAAGCAAACTCGTTCAGTATGTGAAGTTGTGAACGAATTGACTTTTATCATTTGCACTCCTCGTCTCGCTCGAAGATTTACAGGTGAGAGGATAAATGACCAAACAAAATGAATTTGGAAAGAAAGAGGTGGGGACTGGAACATACCAAGACCAATGAAAAAACAAGCTATTTGATGGAGGTTGCTGTGGAGAAACATGTGTTTGATTAATTTTATTTGTAAGCAAAATTTTTAACAAAATAAGACTCAAGAACCGACTCTCATATCCCTCCTCTCATTCCACATAGCAACAAAAATATTATAATGATTATTTTTAAAAACTTAGAGATTATTTTATGCTCAAAATTATTACAATATTTACTCTTAAAAAAGTTTTTTAAGAATTATTTTATTTTAAAAATTATTATAATAGTTTATTTAATAATAATTTTTTTGCTTGGTATAAGTATTTTTTTTATTTGAGGCAATATTATTTAAGGTATTTTTGAGCAATAAAAGTGGACATCTTTCTTAATGAGGATTCGAACTTTAGTCTGCATGGCATGAGGAACAAGCTAGAATAAATTTTTTTCATTGAAGGCAATTCTATTCAAGGTACTGTTTGGCAACAAAAGTGGGCATCTTTCTCAACAAGAATTCGAACTTTAGTTCACTACTGCATGAAGAACTAACTGGCATAGGTATTTTTTTTCCATTAGAAGCAATCCTATTCGAGGTACTATTAAACAATAAATGTAGGGCACATCTCTCAACAAGAATTTGAGCCTTAGTTAACCACAATGTGAGAAACTAGCTCCAATCTTGATTGCTTGATAATAATTATATTCATAAAAAAAGTATTATAATAATTTTAAAAATAAAATAATTCTTAAGTTTATTAAAATAACCATTCCAATATATCATTCCTATTTTTTTAAAGCTATGAATGGTATAATTGTCGAAATTTTTTTTTAAGAATAAATATTGTAATAATTTCAAGCATAAAATAATCCCTAAGCTTTTTAAAATGATTATTATAATATTTTTATTCCTAAGTGGAATGAGAGGAGGGATATAAGAGTCGGTTCTTGAGTCTTATTTTTTTAAATTTTTCTCACAAATAAAATTAATCAAACACATATTTCCCCATACCAACCTGCATATCCAAATAGCTTATTTTTTCATTGGTCTTGGTATGCTCCAGTCCCCACGTCTTTCTTTCTAAATTCATCTTGTTTGGCCATTTATCCTCTCACCTGTAAATCTTCATGCTAGAAGAGGAGTGCAAATAATGAAAGGAACTCGTTCACGCATTGAACGAGTTTGTGTTCCAATTTTTTTTTTTTTAAATGAGGTCACATCAGCTACATGATGGACTTCTACATAAATTTAAATTCGTTCCATCCTTGGACTTCTACTGAATAAATTTCATTTTTTACTTTTATTCTAAATTATCTTCCATGTCTGAAACAATTGATGACTTCTCATTTTTTTCTCATGAGCATTAAACGGCTTTTTTACTCATACTATAAACAGTAAAAAAAATAAAACTCAAATACTATATCATGAGAAATATTTATCTAAATACTATACTTAAACTCGTTCCAAGGATGGAACGAATTTAAATTTAGGGTCAATACAATGATTAGTCCTTACATTTTTCATTCATTTTGGTTTTGGTCCCTGAAGTTTGGAACCTCCAGTTTTGGTCCTTTAAGTTTGCTCCGTTTAAAACGTTAGTCCTTATATTTTTAAAAGGACTTGGTGTCACCTTTAACACTGTTAAATATGCTGACATGTCTCTAACTCTGTTAAATATACTCATATGGAACCAAGTGGATGAGCTGAGGTGGCTTATAAAAGATTAAAAAAAATTTGACGATTAAAAAAATGGTAGAGAAAGGAACAGGCGGTAAAATGTAATACCCAAGTCGAAGGCCAAAACCATTCTTTGCAATCGAAAAAAGAAAAGGAGAGGGTTAGGTCAAAAGCGGTCCCACTTGGTAGTCGCCGGAGGTGGGGAACTGACTGATCAACGTGCGACGACAGTGAAGGAGGAATCACATTTGACAGCAAACAAAAAAGTAAGCTCATCTCAGACAATCACCGCGCTATCACAAAGGAAACTGTTTAGGGCAAAATCCATCGCACCATCACACCAGAGCCACATACACTCTGCACCAGATTTCATCGCTGCAGAGATTCACATTAGACGTTCGTTCTAGCTAGTCGCTCTGTTTGATGCTTTCTGCAGGGGCGATTGATGGCTTCTAGTAGGAGCTCCTCCTCATACAATGGGTTCAGAAGGATAGGTGAAAAGAGGGTTGAAAGATGCAAATGTGGAGATGAAGTGATAATTCTTACTTCATGGACAGAGCAAAACTATGGAAGGAGATTTGTTAAGTGTCCCAATTATAAGGTTAGTAGATGAAATTTACTTAGTTATATGATAGAATTAGCGTGATGGAGAATTTTTCGATTAATTAAATGGGTTTTGGGTCTTTGTGTGATATATAGGAGCGCTGGGGATGCAATTACTTCAATTGGTTTGATGGACCGATTGACAATCAAATCTCAGACGAGTTGAAGAAGCTGAAGGATGATAATGGTGATGTTAGAAGGAGGTTGAAGTGGCTGGAAAGTGTCATGTATATACTTATCAGTATCAATATGTATTTGATTTGGAAAGTGTTGAATGTCTAAGTGTCAAGTTAGGATATTTAACTGAATGTCTATTTGACTTGAAAAGCTTTTGTTAATGCTTGTATGCTGTAATCTGCGAAACTGAGTTGGTTCTGGATAAAATATTGGCTCATGCTGTTATTTTTCATTTTCTTCACCAAAAAATAATATTTTTGGTACAACATTATTACATTACCATGGAAAGCATTATTTCAACAATGAAGACTTTTAGATTTCTAACTAAGTGATATAAGAAACTTCTATCACCTCTGGTCCCAAAAAAAAAAAAAAACAAGAAAATTTTGTCATCTACAGAATCAAACAATTGCAATTGAGTGAAGTCCCCCTTGATCGTTTCACTTTCTCATCTTTCCGTCACTGTATTATTAATTTTGGACAATTGAGCTTTGGTCCATATCTGAAGAAATAAAAAGAGACCTCTGTGCAAGCATGATCGACAAGAAGTTTTGTGGATCTCAACATTTTGATTTGCGCTGAGCTACGCAATAATAAGAAACCTCACATGCTTTCGCATGACTTCGTCGGCCATCACTTTTCTCCCTCAAAATTAGCTGGTAAAATAAGAAACCGAATAATATGAAAGAAGAACGCAGCTGGTAGATCTGAAAGAATTAAGAGAAGATGCAATGTATTCTTCTTAGAGTCACTTTACCTTCACTCTTGTTCTTAGTACACTCTAAAAACAACCTGCATTTTTAATGGCCCTGTCACTTTCTTTGGTCACACGTCTCCATGTGATTTCAGCAAATAAAATAGAAAGAAAATTAAAAAAAATAAAATTGAAAATATTACACAAAATATATATAAATGATGGCCACATGTCATTACATGCAAGGAAAATATTATACAAGTTATGTGGCATAACCACATCCAAAATCCAAGTTACGTCACCTAAATATATTAAGTCATTACATTCAAAATATATTTGTGCTAACTAAAGTAGTAAATCTCCTAAATTGTGTCCCAAATCAAGGTTGAGTGGTCTCTGGAGGAGTTGCATTCATGGACTCTTGTGAGCAATATTGTGAATTCCATTTGGATGGCAGCTTAGGAGGACGTGTCTTTTTGGGTGGTTGCTTCCTTGTAATACTATTACTTGTTGATGGCTCTTTACAAGACCTTTGGTTGTGTCCAGACTTTCCACAATTGGAACACTTAACGCTTGAATTTTGTCACCTCTCCTTTTCAGTACTTGCAGTGCCCTCATCTGGTCCCTTTTTCTGTTTTTTTGTCAGCCTCCCAGGACGCTTGTGATATATTGGAGGATCAATGGGTCCACCATCAGCTTTCTCCCACATGTGCTCTCCATTGATAGGCTCAATTATGGGGGAGTAACAAGCCACAAAAGACTGCAAGGTTAAGTACTTATCCACATAGTTATGTGGATCCTCCCTCATTAAATATATGCAAGCAACTGCATGCCTATAATATAATTGTAAATCAGATTCAAACTAACAAATAAGGGAAAACCATACTTCTAGTCATTATACATGCTGATATGGCCACTATCACCGTTATTACATGCTGATATGGAAGAACACATGGGCAAGCAAAGGTAAACCACAAAAATAAACAATGGAAGGGAACCGACAAAAATAGGCAGGAACAGGTGGAGATTGGAGACATTTCTTATTTTTCATAATGATAACCATTCATTTCTAAAATATAAAATGCACCAAAAGCACATTTCTTATTTTTCATAATTTAATGAATTCCTCTAGCATCTCACAAATACATGAGTTGTATTAACTAATCATTAATCACATATCAATATAAACTTGTAGCGAGTTACACTAATTTCAGGTAAAAAGAGAAGCTCGCACTAATTTAATAGTATAATTGATTTTAGATTTCATATACGCGCATGTCAAAATATGCATATGACATAAATATATACATCATTGTTATGAATATAATAACGCATTAAGATATGAGTGTTGATCAGAAGAATTTATAATGAATTGTGCATTGTGCATTCACCGGAAGCTTCCACTAGACAGAAAAGGGGGTGTTCCAGCTCATAATGTTTGAAAAAATCAAATATATGACAATGGTTCTTGTTGAAAATTTTAATGAGGAAGCTTCCACTAACTGATCATAAAAAATACATGAATAAGCAAGGGAGCTGAAAAGAATTCTGTGTGGGTATTAATTTAATGAGGATTATGCCAAAAAAAATTCAGTATAGTCTAGCAACAAATTACCTGCATGGGATTCCATTCAATTGCCACCAATAACATGTGCAACATCTATCAATAAGATCTACCTTGAACTTATGCTTGTTAAATGAAACCTCAAATCGTTTGTTACCGGCGTATCTTACTTCCCACTTCTGACACTCTTCAATTTCTTTATCTAATCTTTTCCGAGGTTGTGGGCACACTATCCCCTTATCACGGTACTTATCGGCCTTCACACGATTTTCAGCAAATCTTGTCATAAGATATGTTCGAATCCAATCAAGCATGCTCACGATTGGAAGTTCTCTGGCCTCAAGCAATCTTCCATTAAATGACTCCGTGATGTTATTGGTAATCATATCACATTTGCAAGTCTCACCAAAGTGAGACTTAGTCCAGCAAGATGGAGGGATCTTCATCAAATGATCATGTGCTCCATTTGAGATTGCTTTCAACTCATTTATCCATTCTGTCCATTCAGCTTTCACAGTGGACTTTGCAGCACGAAGGACTAAATCACGAATCACGCTTCCTCCTCCATATTTAGCTTTGATATTCGCGTACAAATGCCTCACACAAAATCGATGTTCTGCGCCTTCAAGTAACTCTTCAAATGCTGGAACAAGACCCTGCAAATGATTCATTTGCTCAATTAGGTATTTATTTATTGCACTAATTAATATAACTTAAAATATAAACTTAAATATAAGCAAAGTACCTTTTGTTGGTCAGATATGAACACCCATCTTCATTCTTGCATGCTACCAATATCATCAAATAGATTGTTTAGAAACCACGTCCACGAGTCTCTATTCTCTCCCTCAACCACAACCCAAGCTAATGGAAAATATTGGTCATTGCCATCTCGACCCACAGCCACAAGTAGTATTCCTCCATATGGACCCTTCAAAAAACATCCGTCTAAGCCAATAATTGGCCTACATCCTGCTAAAAAGCCTCGCTTCACAGCTCCTATGCACTCATAAATTCTTTTGAAAACCGGAGGGCGATCCATATGTGGTTCATCAGTGACTAAAGCAAAAGTTGCCTCCGGGTTACATTTTCTCACTTCATTGCAATAATCCCTTAACTTAAGATATTGCTCCTTGTAATCTCCATCAATAATTGCCTTTGCTCTTTTCCTTGCCATGTATGCCTTCCACACAGACACACCAACCATATAATGATTCCTCAATGATGCAATCACATCTGCCAACTTCATGTTTTTATTTGTCTTCATAACGTTCACTATTTTCTCTGAAATCCACTTGTAATTGGCATTCTTCCCTTTTATGGATACCCCACATGTGTGTTTAGCACGGAGTGTCTTCAACCGATATGTCAATTCACCTGTTACTTGACTAACAAACATTAACCATTTACATTCTTCTTGTGCACATTTCACTCGGCACCTCACCTTATCATTTTTTATAAATTTCAATTCATATCCGTTGAGCAAAGCATACTCTCTTACAACATTTTTAAACTGACCAATAGAAGTAAACTCCATCCCTAACTTAAACTGAAAGTTTTTACACATCTCAGATGGGTTGTATGTTCGATTGTTTACTAAAGCCCCTCTTTCATCCTCTTCTTCATTATTAGCAACTTCATCAAGCTCCTCAGATTCATAATCAGATAACATGGCTAAAATGTCTTGGTCTCTCACCTCACCTATGCTGTTTTGCTCCTCTTCATTTGGTTGCACTCTCATCAATTGTGAACTACAAATAACTTCATCTAATGTATCACATACTCCGACATCAACATATTGGCTAAAATCATCATCATCCATCGGTTCCTCTTCACTATTCTCAAATTCTGATAGAGTGCCCTCTGAATCATTCTTGGTCTCTTCCACACCACTGCTATCACTATTATCTCTTGTCTCTTCCTCCCAATCCATATTTCACCTAGCAATATACAAGATCAACTAAAACATGCGTATTCATAATAATAGCCAAAGAATCAACAAGATTGCACATTTCTAAGAAAACAGCGCATAATGGGAACCAACGAAAATTCCAATCAACTCAACAAACTAAATGAACCAAACCAAGCAATGAAAATACTAAATAGAAACGTGAAAAAATTACAGCAATGAACTAAAACATAGCACTCAAAGAAGACGACTGAAAAAATGCCATGATCGGTCACTATTTACTAAAACACAGCACGCAACGAACTAAAACGTCTTTACACATTGCTTACTTTTTTATTTGCTGTCAAATGTGATTCCTCCTTCACTGTCGTCGCACGTTGATCGGTCAGTTCCCCACCTTCGGCAACGGCCATCTCAACTTCGGCGACTACCAAGTGGGACCCCTTTTGACCTAACCCTCTCCTTTTCTTTTTTCGATTGCAAAGAATGGTTTTGCCTTTCGACTTGCGTATTACATTTTATCGCCTGTTCCTTTCTCTACCATTTTTTTAATCATCAAATTTTTTTAAATCTTTTATAAGCCACCTCAGCTCGTCCACTTGGTTCCATATGAGCATATTTAACAGAGTTAGGGACATGTCAGCATATTTAACAGTGTTAAAGGTGACACCAAGTCCTTTTAAAAATATAAGGACTAACGTTTTAAACGGAGCAAACTTAAAGGACCAAAACTGGAGGTTCCAAACTTTAGGGACCAAAACCAAAATGAATAAAAAGTGTAAGGACTAATCATTGTATTAACCCTAAATTTAAATTCGTTCCATCCTTGGAACGAGTTTAAGTATAGTATTTAGATAAATATTTCTCATGATATAGTATTTGAGTTTTATTTTTTTTACTGTTTATAGTATGAGTAAAAAAGCCGTTTAATGCTCGTGAGAAAAAATGAGAAGTCATCAATTGTTTCAGACATGGAAGATAATTTAGAATAAAAGTAAAAAATGAAATTTATTCAGTAGCCCTCACGATTTTTGTGGTATTCTATTTTTGAAATATATTATTATATTAATTAGAAATAAAAAAAAAATTCATTGCAACAGGTTTTTTATGCGCACATTAAAAAAATATTGAAATGAGAATGAATTGTAATAAATTATGCATCTCAAATTAACACGTAAATTAATGTACATAATAAATTATCCAACGCTTTTTGACGCTTTTTTTTTTTAAACATATGCATTAGATACTATTTATAACTAAGGTGACAAATTTTGAATTTTACGCTGGTGAAAAATTGAATTTATATACTTGTTTCAAGCTTAACTTACCATTTGAATAACTTGATTCCATCAAGACAGATAGATGTGATGGTTTGCCCCTTTGTATACCTCCTTGCTATTAATATTTTGCATATGTAAATGAACTGAGATGTCAAATATTTATTTGATTATATGTTTTATTATTATATTATATTATACTTTGTATGCTATAATATAATGACTGGAATATATGTTAACATCAATTTTATGTATATAATAATATATTTTACGTGACAAGAAAATACAAATAACCTATTCTAATTTCTAAAACCTTGCTTTTCCATCCCGTCATTTATCAAGGGAGGCAAAATAAACCTATTCTAATGTTTTTGGGACGATTAGCTTTCTTTTTTTTTTTTTTAACCAGAAGGAACATTAGCTTAATTAAACTTATTCTTATTGTTAAAATATTATATTACAAATTATGTATAATATTTTATGAATGTATGTTCGGTCAAGAGATGATGCCCCAAAGTCTATTGTTTGCGCACACCAGAGTCCATGGTCAGCGATCAAACTAAAGTATGCGACAGCGGCGTATTACTGAATTTAATTTGAAGCCTACATATATTTGTTTTTGAATTAAACCGATTGTGTATATGTATAAACACCAAAAAGAAATTTAATTTCCTTAACTCAATCATATAAAAGAGGAGAGTAAATTAACAGATTAAGATAAGAATTTGTTTAAAAAGTTTTCACTCACCAACATTAAACAACTGAGTTTTTATGGGTTCAATATTACTTCAAGTATAAAATCATAGCAAATTTGATTTGCACCAATGGCTTGGATTAAAAGGATCGGAGGGGTGAGATCTCGGTTAATGAAGGTCATTTTTTTATTTTTTCAGTTTTTTCTAATGAAAAGGTGATGAAACCAAACCATGGTTTGGAAAAGTGATTCTGGAGAATAGATTCTGGAAAGAATAGATTTTATGAAAAAGTGATTTTGAGAAGTGAGAGTGTTTGGATAATTGTTCTCAGAAGCACTTTTTATATATACAAATTACTTAAAAAAAGACATAAGTTAATATAATAATTACAGAAAAAATAAATTTTATGAAATATTTTAATTTGAAGGAATAAAATTGTTAATAATATATTTTTTATTAACATAATTAATAATACATAAGATAATATAATTAATAAATAATTAATATGTATATATATTTATAAAATATAAGATTAAATATGTTTATAAAAAAATATGTTTATAAAAAAAATAACAAGATATATATCCTATAGGCTCTCACACTCTCTCTTTTTTCTCTAAAAGCAAAAAATTTTTGCTTTTTCCAAAACCATGGTTTTGGTTTTTGGGTGGGTGTTTGGATGATTTATTTCCCAAACCATGGTTTGGAGTGTCACCCAAACACAGCCTAAGCATAAAACCCCTCAAACAGTAAGAGGTCAGGATCCTTCGTCAAAATCCACCTCACGACATCCTGGTGAAGAATGATTAAAGATATATCATGATCTCGTGCACATGTTAAAAGTTTCATAAAATAGTAGTTCTAACTAGTACACGTTATTAATAAGGATATTTTAGGGAAGACAACACCTATTTATTACAAATAACTAACTTAACTAATTCTTTTAATCTACTCAAATTAATCAACTAGCTCTTATATTAAGGACTGGAGGTAATATAAGTAGATTAATGATGTTAGTTAATATGATATTACTTTAAATTCTTAATATAAGAGCCAGTTGAGTAATTTGTGTCAAGGAACAAAAAATTGGACCGTTCAATAAACTGGTTGATGTACTGTTCAAGGGTTAATGAGTCAGATCGGAGTTAGTCCAGATTAAACCGGTAATAATTAAAATAATATAATTTAATTAAAATATGCAAAAAAAATTCTATTTCTATTTAATCTTTTTATTTTCTCTTTATTCTCTCTATTTTTTATAAATTCATGACCCATTAAATTTTACCTTTTAACCTTATTTTTTTTCTTACCAGGTTTACATTTTTACTTTTATTTTCTCATTCTCTTTCCTTATCTCCTGCGTAAGCACGTGAAACTGTGAAAGGCTTTACCTTTTTCCCATTCTTTCCTCCTTCCACACACATCCATCAAATCATGTAATTTGACTAATTGACTTTCATTTTTCTCATCTCCCTACACTTCTACAAACTCTCTTATTTTCTCCTGGCAGAAGGCTCTCCTCTCCCCTGCAGTTCTTCCCTTTCTTTCTCCTTTCTTTCCAACAACATGAGTCGCGTCTTGGAAGAGGAATACCGAGATGGAGATACAGCGGCGATAGCCATGCAGTAAGAATGACGGTGATGGAGCAAGAAATAAAGGGTGAAAACAACACCCACAAGCACCAGCGAAGTTCGTGTAGAAGACTGAGCATAGAATCAGCGGACAGGCTGACAAAGATGGAGTTTCTTTTCTTCTTTCTTCTTTTCATTTATTTCTCCAGATCATATGAGAGATTGACCAGATTTGGGTTTTTCTTTGTTTTTTTTTTTTCCAATGACAGTGCGATGTTTTACGCCGGTGGGAGGGGCAAAATCACTAAACCAGTTAACCCACCCCAACCAGCGGTTTATGCGGTTTAACACTGGTTTTGACCGATTTAATCTGTTCAATACCGGTTTGAACATTGTCCGATTCACCTAGTAAACTAGACTGGACACTACACCGGTTTACCGGTTTTCCGGTTGAACCGGCCAATCCAATCCGGTTTTTTCTTCCATGATTTGTATAGATTAAGAAAGTTTGTTTAGTTTAATTATTTATAATAAATAAGCATTATTTTTCCTAAAATACCCTTGCTAACCATATGTATTAGTTAAACCATTTGATAGAACTTTTAACATGTGTAACTGCTACAAGGATTACTTCGAAAAAAATAGATAAATATATGAGACTAAGTGAATTCAAATATCATATTTAAAATCAAATTAAATATCAAACTAGTGAATTCAAATATCATATTTAAAATCAAATTAAATATCAAACTAACTCTTATATTAAGGATTAGGGTAATATTTTTTTTAAACACCCTAAACATCTTTCTTAATTTCCTCTCTCCTGTAGGAGGAATATCGATAGAGTTAATTTAAAAAAATTATAAACATGTGAAATAGATCTTACATATAAAATCAACATCAACTTCTCAATTAGGTCTTATATTAAGAACCAGAGGAGTATTCTTTCCAAATTTTTTCTTATTTAATAACTGTTGAAACGCTTATGCCCAATGTTGATCATTAATATCGTTACAGCCTTGTAGGCATTTTAGGTGAATAAATATTATTCATAAATATCTTTAATAAAATATACACGAAGTACATATTTTCAAGCAAATGCTGCTCCATATTCGCTTCAGCAAATAATATGAAATCATCAACAAGAAAGAGGTGTGGTATTTTTGTTCCATGTCTTGCTATGGATAAGGGCAATCAATTGCCCAAACTGACATCATTCTGCATTAGATGGGCTTACCGTTCCATAACTAGCAGAAAAAGGTAAGGGGGAGAGAAGGTCTCATAGGCTAATAATCATTTTTCATTAATTTGGTGAGAATAAGCCAAATTCTGAGATATAAGGTTTGTTTTTCAAATATATATATTTTATTACTAGCAAAGATGCATTCATTCAAACCGTTAACGGAATAAAGGGGAAGTTAACACGAAATAAGAACGACAAAAGAAACCAAATAGCTAACAATAAAGAGCTGAATAAGAGG